ATTCAGACACAAACAATTTTGACATGAAAAAATATAGATTCGAATTGAAATTAATTCGACTAGAACATGAACTGAATCTAATTTTAAATCGATGACCCTAACCTAATTTAAATCAAACTATTAAATTAACATGACATAACTAATATCCTATTTGACTTGATATGACATGACCCTACTTAAAACTTGAACAAGTAACTGATTTCACATCCCTAAATTTTCACATCCATAGTCCCCACACGCACATAAGACGCGTCGTTTGCAAGTAGATCCTCGGTACTCATATCATATGACGACACAAATGGAAAATTTTTATTAACTTTTCCCAAAATATAATGTTTTCTTTATTTTATTAAATATTATTCGGCGAAGGACGAAAAGAGCCCCGTCTCCATCAAGGCAACTCGCATATAGTATAAAGCAAGATCAATGAGCAAGATTGTGTGGCCTCGTTTTCTCTTTCAGTAATCAGTCGGTAGTAGCCAACCCTAAGATAATTTTTTCCTTTGCGATTCTTTGCTAGGTATTGCTTATTTTTGGCTTTATTTTATTTTATTTTCCATTGGGCTTTTTTTCCCATTTTTGTTTTACTAAATCAGAAAATAGGTGTCTTAATGGCTGAAAAGAGCGGCGACCCTGTAAGTTGCGCGGATTTATCCGTGAAGAGGCCCCGAGAAGAAGAAGAAGAAAACGGAATCTCTTCTATTGCCATGGAAATGGAAGGTGATACCAATTATACTTCCACTAAAGCTGATGGGATTTCCGCTGTTATCTCTGGTTGGTTCTCTGAGATCAGCCCAATGTGGCCCGGTTCGTTTTCTAACTTTCCAAAATCCCCAGTTCTTCGCTCTGTATTCTTTCATTTTGGTTCTTCTATATTTTCCTTTTCTGATTTCGATGTACGTTTTAATCTTTTTATATATTTATGTTCAGTGCTCTATTTTATGTCATGGGTCAGTCAACTTTTGTGTTATAAAATTTCTTTTGTGGTGCTTTTTTTTATTGTGTGAGACATTCACTTATTCAGTCCCTTCTAATGGTTACACTTACACACTCTGATTTTGAATTCATGGTTTGGTTTGTTTTCGACTTCTTCATCATCGTGCTCTACTTCTTTTGTGATGCTTATTTTCTAAATCTCCCCCACCCCTTTATTTGTTGTTTCTGATGTTCGTTTCTTGGCTGGTACTTTTTATTTTTCCCTTTTTGTTTGTAGTTTCTGATGTTAGTTCTTAGCTGATATATTCTATTTTTCTTTTTTACTTTAGAAAAGAAAAGGGTTCTCAAATGGTTCCATATAGGTTTGTGATTTATCATTGTTCAATGTCTGTCACTCGTTGGCACACCTCGTGCAACTTGGTTCTGCTTGTACAGTAGGGTTGATGTTTCGTTCTTTAGAATTAAATTTAAACCGTGAATGATAAAGATGAAAATAAAACTCCATTTTTGTATGACTAATTACTAGTTAACCACCATAACAATCATTTAAATGACTCTTGAGCCTTGTTAGTTGTAAACAACTGCAGATGCTTATGTTCAGTTACTTCTGGGTCATTTGTTTCTATACAACTTCTTTAATGTGGTGTCTTAGGTATGTATTTAGCTGACATTTTCATTGAATGTCAGGAGATTTATGCTTCATCGACATCTTTGAGTGTGCATACTGCTTGAAGTTTAACTGATTTTGGGATTAATTTGGCCTTAATGGATACACAATTTCCTTTTATTGGCGTGCTCCATCCTAGTTGCTTGTTTTTCGCTCATGTGTGTTTCTTAATTGCAAATGTGTATTATTAGTTTAATAGCGAGGTTGATGATAATCCATTAGGGTTTATGGGTTCTTTCTCTAGTCGTTATTTCTATGAGTTTTTCATGGGTGTCCAATCCTATTTCCTTCAATTAAGAAAGATGTCAGAATGAAAGTAGCATAATAATTTACTGAATGGTACTAACTTTTTAGTTAGTTTTTGAGAAGAGAAACATCTTTAGTTGCAATATGTTGTATGAAATATGCAGGAGAGGCGCATTCCTTAAAGGTCAAAAAAATCTTATTTCAAGGGAAGTCTGACTACCAGAATGTTATGGTTTTCCAGGTAATCCTTGGACTTTGGAGAATATGAATTTTCATCCTTTCTATTTTTCCCTGTTTAGCTTCTTTAGAATTTTTATGTTTTAACATGGTATTTTCTGCAGTCATCAACATATGGCAAAGTTCTTGTTTTGGATGGCGTGATTCAGCTCACAGAGAGAGATGAATGTGCTTATCAAGAAATGATCACTCACCTCCCACTTTGCTCCATTCCAAACCCCAAGAAGGTATTTTGTCTATATGTTACTGTAATGTTGTGCACAACTAACAATCTTAGATATGAAAGTTGATGTTTATCTGCTTTGGATATAATGAGTTGTTTTATATCCTGTTTGCATGTCCCAGTAAGCATTTGAAGCAAATTCCTAGCCATAAGTTTAATGCAGGGGCTGTATGGTATTACTGAGATTCACTGGAGATGGTTTCGTTTATTGTTTTGACTCAAATTTTGAACTCAATTTTATTAGTTCTTGGTGAACTTTGCCTTTTCCTATTTGCTTTTAAACCTTCAGAAGTTTTACATGTTATTTTTCTTTTAACTCTCTTCCTTGAGGGGATCTCCCTCACCTGAGGTCCTATTTACCAACAATGAACTATTTCTTTTCAATAGATTTTGGTAGAAGTTGGAAATGCTTTAGATATAATCTTTGCATTCATTTTATGTGTCTTCTCTTGGGAGCTTGCTTTTACCAGGATTGTATCTGGTCACATTATTTGACAGGCACCTGGTCTCTTAATTCTCACTGAGCTGTTTCTTTCATCAGGTTTTGGTTATTGGTGGTGGTGATGGTGGAGTTCTCCGGGAAGTTTCTCGTTATTCTTCTGTTGAGCAAATTGATATCTGTGAAATTGACAAAATGGTCGTCGATGTTAGTAATATCTTTCTTGCCTTCCAAACATTCATGATCCACAATTAGTTGTAATTGATTTAGTATACCAACTGGCTAGCAACTTCCAGCCATCCTTTGGTGAAACCTGGTCTAATAAGAATATGCATTTTCGTTTGTGATAGGTTTCTAAACAATTTTTCCCTGAAGTGGCTGTTGGATATGATGATCCCCGTGTGAAACTTCATATTGGTGATGGTATGATGAACTTAGTTTTTGGTGTTTGTACACTATATTACATGATATTAATCATTAATGTCCTATTGGATTTCAGGAGTTGCATTTTTGAAGGCTGTTTCAGCAGGTACTTATGATGCAATTATAGTGGATTCTTCTGACCCTATAGGTAATGGTTTTTGGTGGAAATTTTGTATTATTTAACTTTTCTCTGAATGGTTTATAATCTTTTAACATTTGAGAATTGGATCGTTGTTTGACATCTCAGGTCCTGCTCAAGAGCTCTTTGAGAAGCCTTTTTTTGAGACTGTGGCAAAGGCTCTTCGTCCAGGTGGAGTTGTCTGTACTCAGGCAGAAAGTATCTGGCTACATATGCACATAATCGAAGATATAGTAGCAAACTGCCGCCTAATCTTCAAAGGCTCTGTTAACTATGCATGGACTACTGTTCCTACATACCCAAGGTACTATGACCTTCACTTTAGTAATTAAACGTGGGTTCATCTTATTCACAACTTTTGTTTACTGTTATACATGTTGCCAAATGCTCTGCTTATCATTGAGCTCTTTATTTCGTTACAGCGGGGTGATTGGTTTCATGCTTTGCTCGACTGAAGGGCCTCCTGTTGACTTCAAGCATCCGGTGAATCCTATAGACAGAGATGATATCTGCGGCAAATCAAAACGACCTCTAAAGTTTTATAACTCCGATGTGCAACTTTGCTCCACTCTAAATCCCTTTATAATTGTGTGAAAATAATTTGGGAGTCACCCTTATCCTTTTGCTTGTTTCTGATTGCAGATTCATTCGGCTGCTTTCTGCTTACCATCCTTTGCCAAGAAGGTGATTGAATCAAAACATTAGGGGTGAAAATTTTGAAGTATTTCTACAAAATTCTAGTAATTGTGGAGGAGGATTAGTTACCATCCTTTGTTTGATGACCTAATGTAGCGATGGACGTTGGATTTGTAAGACTACAAGGAATTTATGGTTATTTAGATGAGACATAAATGGCTGTTTCTTGGAATCATTTATCAGAATCACATCTGTGTTGTTAGCAATATATTACATGGATGTTTGAGATCATTCTATTTGTGTGTTTTTTTGTTTTAAGTAGTTTAGATATGGAGGTTGTATTTTTCAGGTTAGAAAATTTGTGCCCCCTTACTGCTGAAAACTATACTTAGTATCCCAGTATAAGTATTAATGTCTATAACTACATATCTGGAGTTTGGTTTAAATGTGTTGAACCTGCACTCGCATGGTTTCGACTATATATCTGGAGTCTAGTTGGAGTTTAATGTCTCATCTCAATGCTTTTGTATTGGATAGAGGCATTGAGCATGGGCGACAGACCATGTTCTGATTCAAGGTCAAAGCCTTGATCTTTTGGTTTTTGCATGAAGAAGACGCATGCCTTGTCGTGCCCCACATAGCAGTATGTTGACTTTGGTACTCGCTTCACCATAGAAAATAGACGTGATATCACTTGACGAACCAAGTGCAACTGATATATATTTGATTCTTTGAAACAGAAGTGTGTAGGTTAAATAGTGTGTATAGGTTAAATATATTTATTTGAATTCATTAGAAATCTCTCGATTGTAAAATTTGTTTAAAATCGAATTATGTTATCTTTTTGTTAAATATTAGTTTTTCCAAAGTTGAGATTGATACTTGATTCATTGAAAACTTATTAAGATCTAGATCAAGATGAATATTTTTCTCCTATATCTTTTACAATATTGTTTGTTTTTATTATTTATTGTCTATTGTTATTAGTGATTGTAGTTGTGGATGATGATCGAATGAAACAGGTGATAATGGCTTGGGGTTAGTTTTGTTGTAAATGGTGGTCGTGTTCATAGTTATAATGTTTGTGGATGATAGTGATGAATGATATGATGATTTTGGGAAGATTATAAAACTCTCAATTATAATGGATATTATGTTTTAGAGAAAATATTGATCGAAAGAATGTCGATGCTGATGATTATGATAAAAGAAGACCAACGATTATCGAATAGTATGAAACTCAAGATTTTTTAATCAAATTAGTATTTCTTAATAACAATTGACATTAGTGATCGTAATAAAAATTAATAATCATAATGTAAATTTTAAAAATTCAGATTAAAATGCAAACATTCAAAAAGTTTGGGAACCATTTATGGAATTTATTCTTTAGTTTATTTGGAACAAATTGTCTACAGTGATAATTGTTTTGTAATTTGTTCATATATCTAATCTATTCATATATGGATTGAACAACACTATATACCGGGGGACCAACATAGGGACTGAGGGTTGTTGCACCTCCAAAAATTTTGATATAATAGAATTTTAAGTATTTTTTAATTTAAGTATTAATTAAATAATACTTTTATTTCTTTTAATTTTTAAATTAAATATTTAATAAATTTTTATTCTTTTAATTTAAAACAACTTTGTCCTCTCAACCTTTAATCTTAACTCTGTCCCTAATTATATATTATATCAATTTTCTTTTCTTTTCTTTTCTTCAGCTTTATTGGTCAACTGCAGCATTAATCTCAATACTAATTGCCAATCACCGATTTTCGTTTATATATATATATATCACATTACTGATCACAGGTAAATAAAATTGATGAATAAAGGATACTATTTGGAACATTCTTAGCTAAAATGGGGCCCATCAAATGGTTTTTGGATAGGTACGAACCGCGCCCCTTCCATATTTACACCAATCCGTGGAATGCGGCGACCAGAAAATCATGGGCCCCACACATGGTTCGAATTTTCTTTTGGATGAGGGCCGTTCCCAAGCAAGCCGACCCTAGACTCAGTGCTAACCACGTGTCAGGTGGGGGCCTTACATAGATAAAACCCAAGATCTTCCAATCTTGAGATGACGTGGACAGATGACATGGGGCCCGCCCCTCTGTTTACGTCGTTGCGGGGAAACGGTTGCGGGAGTCTTACACGTGTTCCCATGTCCGTACCCTTACGGTGGGTGGGAGTTGGGACGAAAACGAATCGGTGAGGACTGAGGAGTTTAAAACCTTTTTCTTTTCTATTATGTTGACGTTTAGTTAATATAATATTAAATTATTTCTTAGAATAAAAATTTTAAAATGTAATATTATTTATATATTATTTTATTTATCTAATAAAATATAAGATTATAATGTTTGATTTGAAGAATATGAACTATTTAGATACATATTTTATTGTATTATCTTTATATATATATATATATATATATATATATGTTCTTTTCAACAAAAAAAATATTTACAAGAAGATTCATAGAATTGTTTTAAAATTTTAATCACAATCCAATTATATTTATTTTAATAACTTGTAGATAAATAATTATTATTTAATTGTAATTATTAAATAAATAATTACCATTGACTTCATGCGTATATTATTTTTATCAAATATTTAATATTATGTAAAAATGTTAGTAAGCTGTAAGGATAAAAATGTGAAACTGTGAAAAACTTGAACCATTATTAATAGTATTATTGTATAAAACAATTGATATTTTATTGTAAATTAGGAATTAAGATAATTTCAGAAGCTAAAATTGACGTAATTTATTATTTTTTTCCTTCAAAATTTCCCTTTAAAAAGTAAGCAGGATGTTCATCAATCAATAACACCAACTTATGTAAAACCTAACTTGCTGTTGTGTACCACTTTTTACAATTGGGAAGACAGGTTGGTATACCCAACATAAACTTTGATAGATTTTTTTTTTGGATAAGTAAAAATTTTATTATTCAAGTAAAAGTACATCATACAACAATCATCCCAAACAGGGAGTATAAACACCTATATACAACAAAAGAATGTTAGTCTATACCCCAAGAAGTACAAAGTCTAGAATTAACATAATCAAGTCTATTAATATTTTTATCTCTTAGTTTGATCCGCACAAGCTCCTTAATAGACTTGAGAAGTTGATCGGCTGGTCTTGTTCCTCTGTTAAAGATTCTTCTATTTCGTTTCTCCCATATGAAGTAGATAAAACCAATCCAAGTAATCCTCAATATGATGGAAAGCAAAGATTTACCCTTCCATTTATGTGCAGCCCACTCTATTTGTGATTCCCAAGTCATGTTTGCATCTTTAATGCTTGATAGGATCATAATAGATTTCCAAAGAGAAAAAGCATAAAAACAGTCATTAAAAAGAAGATTTCTGGATTCATTAATCTCATTACAAAGAACACATATTCTGTCAGAAATAATGCCCATCCTAAAGAGTCTGTCACGAGTTGGGTCAGATCCAGAATAGTCATCCAAGTGATCATGCTGAGTTTAGGAATATGATAAGGAAACCAAATCACTTTGTGCCAGGAAACCTTTTCTCTTGGAACTCTGATATCTTCCCAAATGTCTTTTGTATTCGTGATACCAACAACAATTGTAGAGGATGTTTCATTCCTAAGTTTTGAAAGTTTTCTTATGGTCCAACTATAGGAAGTGTTAGCACTTATGTCACTTATATCATTATATTTTATAACATAGCAGTGAATCCAAGTTACCCATAAAGATCCCTGTCCAGCCAGTATTTTTCTGATTAGTTGGATCATGCAGGCTTTATTCCAAGAGTGAATGTCCTTCAAACCGAGCCCTCCTTCAGATTTAGGGCAACAAATACGTTCCCAGATAATCCTTGCACCATTGGCAGCAGTATCATTACCTTTCCAGAGGAATCTAGAGCAAAGTTGTTCTAATCTATTGATAACTTTCTGAGGAAAGATAAATTGTCTATTCCAGAAGTTAATAACACTAAGTAAAACAGTTTTAATAAGCTCTAGACGCCCAACATAGCTTAAATTTTTTCCAGACCAGTGATGAAGTCTTTGTTTAATATTATCAAATAGAGGATGACAGTCTTTTTCAGTTATTTTCCTTATGACCAGAGGAACACCAAGGTACCTAATCGGAATAAAGCCTTGTTTGAAACCAGTGGCAGATTTAATGAATTCTAGAATTCTGTCCGAAATTCCAGCAGCAAAATATTCAGTTTTGCTAACATTTAAGTTCAGCCCAGATAAATTATAGAAGTGATTGAGGACACTGGTAACCCCTACAATAGAATCAAGATTTTCTTTACAAAAGATTAAGAGGTCGTCAGCAAAAGATAAATGGGTGATGCCCAGTTTTTTGCACTTAGGATGATATCCAAAAATTCCTTTGGTAGCAGCAAGGTTGAGAATTTTAGAGAGAATGTTCATAGCAATCAGAAAAAGGATTGGTGATAGGGGATCACCTTGTCTTATACCTCTCTGTCATTTAAAGTACCTAATGAGGCTACCATTGAAGGATATGGAGTATCTAGCTTCTTTGAAACAAGTTTCAATCCATCCTATGAAAATAGAAGGTAACCCTATGCTTTAAGAATAGAGGAAATGAAGTCCCAATTGAGAGAGTCAAAGGCTTTTTGTAAATCAATTTTGAGAGCACATCGAGGTGAAATATTTTTTCTACCATAGTCTTTGACCAATTCTTGGGCAAGAAGAGTGTTATCTATAATGGATCTACCTCTCACAAAAGCTGTTTGGTTGAGGGAAATAAGGTCAGGTAGCAACACAATCATTCTTTTAACAAGTATTTTTGAAATTGTTTTGTACACAACAGAGCATCAAGATATAGGTCTGTAATCCTTCACTTTGCTAGGATTCTGGATTTTAGGAATCAGGGCAATAATGGTGGAATTAAAAGCAAGAAGGATAGCAGTTTCTTTAAAGAAAAATTTAACAGCATTTACAAAGTCTTCCCCTACCACAGACCAAGAATGTTTGAAAAACAAAGGAGTGAATCCATCTGGTCCAGGAGCTTTATCATTCCCTTGATTAAATAATGCATCTTTGATATCTTCAGAAGTAACCGTTTTAACCAAATCAGTAGCAACCTCATTAGGCACATGGAATTGAAGCAAATTTCTCAAGAAAGAATGATCAGAAGGAATAACCTTATGATCAATTTCTCCTAGTTGATGTTTGAAGAAGTCAATAATTTCATTAGTCATATCATCATAAGACTCTAATCTTCTCCCCTCATTGTTAGTAATAACCCTTATGGTGTCTCTTTTATGTTTAGAGGCAATGACAGAATGAAAAAGCTTGGTACATTTGTCTCCATCATTGACCCATTGCACCTTAGCTTTTTGTTTGAGGAACATATATTCAATGTCCTCTAAATCATTTAGTTCCTTTTGAATTTTCAATTCTTCATCAAAAGAATTGATTCCATTAAGAGTACAAATTTGAATTTGCTCCAACTCACTCCTTTTAAGTCTGACCCTAGCATAAATGTCATTATAATTATCCTTGTTGAGCTTTTTCAAACTAGGCTTTAGGCGTTTAAGTTTAATCAACAATCTTTGCATAGGGTTTCCTTGAGTAGTCTGTTGCCATGATTGAGTGACAAGTTCAAGAAAATTAGGATGTTTTGACTAGAAGTTAAAGAATTTAAAAGGCTTAGGTCTATTGGTTTGAGCTTCTTTTTTGACCCATGGTAGAGCCATACAGTGGTCTGAAGGGCCAGGAGCAGTAAATTCAACAAAAGAATTCTGAAAGTAAGAAGTCCAAGGAGGATTAATCATCACTCTATCAAGTTTCCTTGATAGAAATGAATCTTTTTGTTTATTGTTCCAAGTATATGTTGGGCCAAAGAAAAGGTGATCATAAAGAGCAAGCTCTTGAACCAAATCTTTAAAATCATTCATATCAGAGGAAGAATAAGGACCCAAAAAAAGTGAGTCAAAACTTTCTCTATAGTGCAAAAAGGTATTGAAATCCCCTCCTAGAATCCAAGGAAGGGTTCCAATCCTTGAATCTAACTCTTTAAGGTGCTGCCAAAGAAGTCTTCTAGAAGTGCCACTGTTACTCCCATAAATTCAAGGGCCATTGTACAAGTGAACCCATAAAGGCAGTCTAGTAAGATCAAAATTCAGTATTTGTAAATTGAGTTTCCACTTTCGAAGAATTAACAATTTATTGAAAATGTGCCACGAGCCATTCTCAAGAACTCAATCCCGAGCATCATCAGAATTGAAGGAGAAAATATAAAGATTATTCCCAGCGAGGCTTACCTGAACAGGTGCGATATTGTTCCAGAGTTTCTCGATTACTCGCTGAAGAGACAAGAAGTTTTGAGCAGCTCCTAAGAACTGACCCACTAGAGAAGATTTCCATTCGGCAATTCCAGGCTCAAGGACCTCAAGGGGAGGTTGAACAGTTAAGGTTTTTTCCTTCGATTTTGGGGGAAAGTAGGTGAGTTCGTGATCTGCTTGGCACCCAAAGAGTTTTCTCCAATCCGTATCACAATGAGAAGAGAAAGATGAAAGATGAGACGCACTGATGAACGGATGACCAGTAATAATCGCCGGCGATGGTATGAGAACTCAGGATCCGTTAGTCCTGCTAACGTGTGCCCAACTTTGATAGATTACAAAGCCTTGAATATGTGATATTAAATAACGAATCAATTTATTTATGATTTAATACGATAATTCATTTTATTTTTGAATACAATTATAAGGGTAAAAACGTTAAAATCCTACATTCCAACTTAATTTACACCCAAAAATCAGCAACGGTTTTTGACATCTGATTTCCTGTAAATTTTGTTCAAGATGATAAATATATTTGAATCTATTTTTTCATATATATTTTTATAAATTCGATTAATATAGATTATACATATATGCAATATAATCATAAAAAAGGTACATTCACATCTAGAATCTGCTTAGAGGAAAATCCCTCTCAAATCTATTGGGACCCATAGGATAGTGTGGAAAGAAAAGATCCACGTGTGCATGATGAATAAGCGTATATTGGATTTTATTAATATTTTTAAAGAAGCATGTTTATATTAAAATCAATAAAAATATTGATTGGGTCAGATTTGGCAAATCTTATCCACTTATAATATTATTTTTATAATTAATAAAATATTAATCTGGAATATTTAAATTAAACTCAAAGGGCAGAAAGATGGTAGGGGCTAGAGGGCAAGTATTAATTTGGTAAATAAGCAAACGTAAGAAATACAAGAGGAGAGCAAAGACATCGAGTTTTTTTTATTGGGAAAAGTACGCAAATGGTCACTAGCTTTGTTGAATCTTTCAATTATTAAAATGGCCACCCATCTACAAGACATTGTTTTATTGAGTTTTTATTATTATTAAAAGTTATAAAATAGTCATTTAACTGTTCATATGTATTAAATTTATTATTTTTTGTTAAAAAATTGACGGACATTTAAATTAGACGTTAATTTACTAATTGTGATATGATAAAATTATATTTTATCGATGCCTACCAGCACCACTGTTTCTTTTAAGTACTGACTCGATAATATAATATTTTAAGTATCGACTGGACGATATAATGTTTCAAGTAATAACTCGATGATATAATATAAACATAGAGTCCATCCATAAAATATAGCTCCAACGATCCTATGATCAAATTTTATCACATCATAATCAATAAGTTACCGTCTAACTCAGACGACCATCAAATTTTTAACGAAAAATAACGAGTTTGAAACATATGAATAGTCAAGTGACTATTTTATAAATTTTAATAGTCGGATGACTCAACAAAATAATATCTTATAGTTTTAGGACCAATTTATAACTTCTAATAGTTTGGAGATTTAATAAAATAAAACCTTATAATCAGGGACCGTTTGTGTACTTTATCCTTTTATTTTATTTTAAATTTGAATAAGGTGGATAAGGTTAGTACTACTAAATGCTAAAGCTTATCCAAAGTTGCCAGCTAACCAATTACTCTATCGGCGTGCTGTCTGGGGTCATGCTTGTCCCCGCCAAGTCAAAAACTCTCTCTTCTTTTTTTAAGGTTTTCAAAAACGAAAATAAAATAGTAAAATAATGAAGCCAACCGAACAAGACTTACGGGCTGGCTGGCCGTCATTTATTAGGTCACAGCTCATCTCATCCACTCCGAAATTCCAACCTCTGCAACAACTATTTCTTTAATTTAACCCACTGCCCTTACCCCTATTTACGATGTTACCCTTTCCTGTTTCTTTGAACTGTCCTGGAATATTCCTTCAAATTCCAATTATATTTTTCTTTTTGTAATTAAATACGAATAAAAAATACAACGACCGGATACAATTTACTTAAAAAAATAAATAAAGCTGATTGGAAGAATAATATGTTGTCTTTTTTATATGTCGGATGGTGCATTCACGCACCCGGGTTTCATTGAAATAAAAATATCTACCACTGTGTTTTTGATAAATTAAAAGTATATAAGAATATGCTATTGGTATATGTTCTGAAACATTATAATATTGATTATAAATTATTTATAATTTTATAAATTTTTAGATAAATTAAAAGTATACAATTTTCAAAATTTTCCCTTAAAGAGAATAGTTTCCCTAATATAAGTATAACCTTGGAAATTATTGTAGATATACATGTATATATACATTGTCCCTAGAAAATTATGAGAAATATACATACGTACACAAAATATCATACGTTTGTCATCTATCTTAAAAAGGAAGTAAACTAATAATTTGCAATATACGATGTGACTTTTATTATAGTAAATACCACGATTTCAAATTTCGAATGATCGTGCATATTTAACTAAGATATTGAAAGCAATCGTGGACAAATCCTAATTAGCCAATGCTCACATAGGATAATGTTATTTGACCTAATCACTAAAATAAGTAGCGCTTTGTTGGACAAAATGGACTTGGAGTTTATGCCAAAAAGAAGTGGATAATAAAGTTTTAGATGCTTAGCCTTAATCTTTATCTTTGATTTGTCGATTAATTTAATTAAGTATACATAACAAGACAAAAAAAAACGTGCGTTGGAGGATAATCTTCTTTATTCAATGCCCAAATATGGTTGCTTTGGTTTATCAACCTACTCCCCTACTAATCCACGACGGGGGGAAACACTCAGTCAAGAGAGAGTAATTAAGTTCATTTTTCTTGTATTTTAAGCATGTTAATGATTGCCAACCACTTTTACGATAGAAAAATATATTTTCTAAAATATTCCTATATATATTTTTAAATATAATTTGGAAAATTTTCATTATAAATTATGAAAATTTGATTGATTTTAAGATATGTTTGTCGTTATGCGTGTCTGCGAATTTCACTATTTTATTTAATTATGGATTAGTAATTTTATTCTTAGGGATATATAGGAGTATAATTTGTATTATATGTCAAGTTTATGGACATGCATAATTTTATAAAATTTAGTGACTTTAATATTAATGCAGCTAATTATGAAATTATTATAATAAAAAATTTATTTTTTTATCATTATAACTTTTTAAAAAGTAATCACATATAATAATATCCGTTTAGTTAATGAAATTACTTTAAAAAACTTCGTCAGTTGCTTAAAATTTTTAAAAAATATATCTATTTTTACTGGAGTATCAGATATATTAACTGACATATTTAAATTATTTTATGGAATTTATTTCATAATCACTAGACTTTTCTAAATCGTGTAGAAATTATAGAAAAATAAAGCAAAATCTATGTAGAAATTAAAATAATGAAATCGGAAATTGAAATTGAAAAAGGAGAGAAAGGAAATAAAAGTACTGAAATGGAAAAGGGCATTTACGTCAAACCATGGGAGCTTAATTCAAAAAAGGAGAAAACCATGGTTAAAAGGTAACTCAGGTAAAGACGGCAACTTTCGATATTATCCTATTCGCAAATGGCAATAGACTATAATTAACAAAAATAAATAAATAAACTGTATATATTTTTTCTCTCCGATTTTCTTTTCACATTTTGAATTCATTCATTCCGACGCATCTTCCATTTTCTTCTTCGCTGTTCTTTCCTCACACGTTCCTTCTGTCTCTCTACTTTATCTCTTCTTTCAACATTAACGAACTTTTCCCATTTCCTTTCATACAGGAAAACAGCCTCTCGTCGGCCGTCGGTTTTCTTTTTCAAACCGCCGTGACGTACAAGTAAGTAACTCTCCTTCCGGAATTCTGATCGGTTGCGCCGTCGTTTTGTTTGCGTCTACTTTTTGTTATTTGATCTACTGCTAAGTTGACTCTACTTCGTTTTTGTTATTTGGCTGCTTAGAAATTGCGGGAATGTTTTTTTTAAAATTGTTATCCACTCTCTCTAAAACGAGTCATTAATTTTGGTTACGTTAAGCGGAGGAATCGGATAGCGTTGATTAGTTTAATATTTATAATTTTGATTAATGATAATATCAAATGAAAAATAGATCAGTTATTATTACATTTTTTCCTGCTGAGATTCTTGCGTATTTTTTCTTTTAACTTCTTACATTTTGTGGATTTTCAAATTTTTACTGTATTAATTTTTTGTGCTTATTTTGAATCCAGATTTCGATTTTTCTTTTGATTTCGTTTGCTTATTTATGATATTAGCACACTTCATTCTTTCATATATATATGCGGCAAAATTACCTGTGATGAAAATAAGGTTGCGGATTTGTTTTTGCTAAGAATAGGAAAGACTAAAAAATAAGTATTCTTAAGGCTTCTTTTGTACTTATCTCAACATTTTTATTATTACAATTATTATTATCTTGATTTAGTCATCACATTAGCTGATTATTTTTGGATGAAAATGCCATAGATGACCCGATAGAGAATGTTTAAAAAATATTGTGAAAAGTCAAAACTATAGGGAAAAATAATTAGTCTTATTTGAGGTCTACACAGTTGTTAGAAATCGTGGCGTTTAATCTTCTTTATTGCTTCCTTGATCGGTTGACATGAGCTCCACTAATTAATATCGTTTTGTCTGCAGATCTTTGAACATTTTAATCCAAGCAGTTTCTTGTAGCGTGGGTTTTGTTTGTATGCTTACGTCTAATAAAAGTTTTCATGGCATCAAGATCGTGTGCAAATTTTTTACACTTGGTCTCTGGGGATCTACTTGATATTCCTCAAACTCCAAGAGCTCTTCCTCGCGTAATGACTGTTCCTGGGATCATCTCTGACAGGGATTCTTGTAGCAGTAATGATGGGGATTCAGATGTAACTTCATCTGGTTGTAGAGAACGCAAAATTATAGTAGTAAACATGTTACCTTTGCATGCTAAAAGAGATGGAGAAACTTCTAAATGGCGCTTCAGTTGGGATGAGGATGCTCTTTTTCTACATCTGAAGGATGGATTTTCTCCTGAAACAGAGGTCGTATATGTAGGGTCTCTCAAGGTCGATATTGATGTGAATGAACAGGAAGAAGTTGCCCAAAAACTGTTAGAAGATTTTAATTGTGTTCCTACATTTCTACCTAATGATTTGCAGAAGAAGTTCTATCTTGGGTTCTGTAAACAGCATCTGTGGCCTCTTTTCCACTATATGCTGCCCATGTGTCCTGACCATGGTGATAGATTTGACCGTATTCTATGGAAAGCATATGTTTCTGCTAATAAAATATTTGCTGACAAGGTTATGGAAGTAATCAATCCGGATGATGATTATGTTTGGATTCATGATTATCACCTGATGGTTCTTCCCACATTTTTGAGGAAGCACTTCCATAGAATCAAGCTTGGATTTTTCCTGCACAGTCCTTTCCCCTCATCAGAAATATATCGAACATTGCCTGTTCGGGATGAGATTCTTAGGGGACTGCTGAACTGTGATCTAATTGGTTTTCATACATTTGATTATGCACGGCATTTCTTGTCTTGCTGCAGTAGAATGCTGGGCCTTGATTATGAATCTAAAAGAGGGCATATTGGTCTCGATTACTTTGGTCGCACAGTTTTTATTAAAATTCTTCCAGTAGGGGTTCATATGGGTAGACTTGAATCAGTGTTGAATCTTGCCTCCACTGCTGCCAAGGTCAAAGAGATTCAGAAGCAGTTCGAAGGGAAAAAATTGATTCTTGGCGTAGATGACATGGATATCTTCAAAGGTATCAGTCTTAAACTACTGGCTATGGAACAGCTGTTACAGCAGCATCCAGGTTTGCAGGGTAAGATAGTCCTTGTTCAGATTGTGAATCCTGCAAGGGGGTTTGGAAAGGATGTCCAGGAAGCTAAGAAGGAGACTTATATGGCTGCTAAAAAGATCAATGATGTCTATGGTTCACCCAAATATCAGCCTGTAGTTTTGATTGATTGTCCTGTTCCCCGTTACGAGAAATCTGCCTATTATGCACTGGCAGAATGTTGCATAGTAAATGCTGTGAGGGATGGAATGAATCTGGTTCCTTACAAGTATATTGTTTGTCGGCAGGGAACTCCTGGCATGGATGAGGCACTGGGTGTAAAGCCAGAATCTCCTCGGACAAGCATGCTTGTTGTTTCGGAGTTCATTGGTTGCTCACCGTCTTTAAGTGGAGCGATAAGGGTAAATCCTTGGGATATTGATGCCGTGGCTGAGGCTTTAAATACAGCTATTTCCATGCCTGAGTCAGAGAAGCAATTGCGGCATGAGAAACACTACAGATATGTCAGTACTCATGATGTGGCATATTGGGCTCGCAGCTTTGCTATGGACTTGGATAGAGCATGCCAAGATCATTTTAGTAAGCGCTGCTGGGGGATTGGTTTTGGCCTTAGTTTCAGAGTCGTCTCTCTTTCTCCTAGTTTTAGGAGGCTTTCTATTGATCACATTGTTTCAGCATATAAACGAACAAATAGAAGAGCAATATTTCTGGACTATGATGGCACTGTTGTTCCGGAAGCTTCCATTGTTAAATCTCCTAGCCCTGAAGTTATCTCTATCATCAAGACCCTCTGTGATGATCCTAAGAACACTGTGTTTATCGTTAGTGGGAGAGGGAGAACTTCACTTAGTGAGTGGCTTGCTCCGTGTGAGAAGCTGGGAATAGCTGCTGAACATGGGTACTTCATAAGGTACAGTTACTACAAGTTTTTTAATATTTGGCCAATAACGATTCTAATTGCGTAAACTTAGGTAATATTCTGTTCTCCTGCAGATGGAGTAAGGACTCTGAATGGGAAACTAGCCCTGTCGGTGCTGACCTTGAATGGAAAAAAATCGTGGAACCTGTTATGATGCAGTATAGAGAGGCAACAGATGGCTCCACCATAGAGCCTAAGGAGAGTGCTTTGGTATGGCACCATCAAGATGCGGACCCTGATTTTGGATCATGCCAAGCTAAGGAATTGCTAGATCATCTGGAAAGTGTTCTTGCAAATGAACCAGCAGTTGTTAATAGAGGCCAGCATATTGTTGAAGTTAAGCCACAGGTATGACAGTGATTCTTCCCTAGATGTTGCCTCCCCCGTCTCTCTCGTATTTATGTGTGTAATATAGTTAATTCAAACTTCTTCCTGATCAGTATTCTTTTTCATTCAGGGAGTAAGGAAAGGGCTTGTTGCAGAAAAGGTTTTGTCGAGAATGGTCAATGGTGGGGAGCCACCCGATTTTGTGATGTGTGTCGGTGATGATAAATCTGACGAAGATATGTTTCAGAGCATATTAACTTCACTATCTAATCCATCCTTGCCCGTGGATCCAGAAATCTTTGCATGCACTGTTGGGCGAAAGCCTAGCAAAGCTAAGTATTTCCTCGATGACACTGCTGATGTTTTGAAGTTACTTAAAGGCCTTGCAACTGCCACAATTTCAAAGCCTAGGTGCCTGCCTCATATTCAGGTTTCTTTTGAGAGTAATGGTTGACATAAACTTGGCGGCTGCCTTAAATTTACCAGTTCTACACATTAGAGTGCCCGATTTGCTTCAAGGGATTCCTTGAATGAGAAAAACCTCAATAGTAATTTATCTGAAGTGTTGGTAGTACTTTCCAGATACTATTCTAATGGGATACCCGGCGGCATGGGAGATGGTTGTGGACGGGAGCCGAAAGTTGAAGGTTAAGTGCTCGTCATTATCATTATATTGTATATGATGATAGTGAAATTATGCATTTTTCTGGTGTTAGCAAAAATGGTATGGGATGAGTTCTAAGTTCTTGCTTGTTTATAGTGGTATTTACTGATTAGAGGCACCGTTGACTTGTATAGATACATTGTTTTCCAATACAAAATTACCGATTTGAGTTTGAGTCGCACATTTTTTTTGGAGTTTTGTTAAAGCCCAAAATTGGTCGACCCCTTTACTTGATGAACGGAGGTCGCCCAAGCTCCACACATGGAGTTTGAGAAGCTCATCTACTTGTATAGAACTAATCCACTTTTCTCCTATTAAAATTTTTTCTTTTGCAATGATTTGAGCTATAGTTTCGACATCATGTGTGATTTGTTAATTTAGATTTTTTTTATTTAGATTTTTTTTGTTAATTTAAGTGTTTGATTTTATTATTAAAAATATTAACAGATTTATTTTATAAATGTTTTAGAAAGTATAATTTAACTTTTGCTAAGTTCGTATTATATATATATTGGTCTAAAATTGACATTAAATAATTTTACTTTTATTTTGATTAAAATTTCAGTGTTTTGGTTGTTTTAGTATCGGTCTATAAAGGTACTTAATTGTTGTTGATACATAATTTTTTGGTTTATTTGAAAAATAATTTTCTATTTTTTTATTTATTAAATGTTCTTTTTTTATTTTAGTAAGTATCTAGTATTTTTTTTCAAAGATTTTGTAATTTTATTTTATATTATTCAGTTTGTCATGATAAACGAAATTGAAGTATTTTAGAACTAGTTTTTGATAATTGAGACTTTAGTTTCACTTATAAATGGACAAGCTTTTACAATCCAAGCGTTTTGATTTAATTTTGAGGGTAAAGATTTTTTAATAAAATTCAAGAGGCATAGACCAAATTTGATGTCATTAATAATAAATAAAATCTTAAAATCTAGCAATTGTGTAGATTTCTTTAGTCTTGCATTATATTGAAGTCTTGTTGTCCATGAATGCGATCTTTAAGTATATGTAATTTTTTATGAAGAAGAAAAAGGGACCTTGGATGCTCTCATCCTATGGATGAAAAGTTTCATCTCAGTCAACAAATACAGTTGGTTTCCATGATTATATACACTAAATAAAGGATCTCTAAGCTATGTGTCAAAATGAACGAGCAACACATCTTCTGTGACTTATTTTTTTTGTCCCAAATTGATGAATCTATACGATTGACTTGATTTTAGATTTTAGCCTTTAATTTTTATGCTTCTTCCTTTCCCATTCTTAGACCATCTCCTGCCTTCATTTCTACTCTACAATATCTCTATCTCTACTCTAAAAATAAAACAGTAATTCATCTCTAGCACTATATTTACATCGTCACCAACTCTACTTTATTCATAATATTTAACTATTATAATATTGATTTTGTAAATATAAAATAAAACATATACATTTCTAATAAATATCAAGATAAAAATCATAAATAAAATATTCATAAATAACATTACGAAAATACAAATAAATAAGAAAATTACGATTCATAATGAAAAATAAGTTGCATAATTATATATTTTAATTCTCCAAATTAAAATATTCATTCCACAAATTATCAAAAAAAGAAAATAACAAAAGAAAGTAAAAAATAAAATCAAAAATCAAAAATAACTCTACTCTAAAGATGGGCTACAGTACTGCGCTACATGTAGAGTATCACTGTAGTATCTCCACATTCTAAACTCTACTCTAGAGATAGACTAAAGTTGAAATTTATTTTCAAGTGGAGATTTTTTCTACTTTGGAGATCATTAGAGATGCCCTTAGTGTCCTTGTTACTTGAAAATTGGGCCTGCATCATCCTCAAATAGACCTTTTGTCCTTTCAAAAAAGGGGAAAAAAGGTGTTTAAACTTCTCCAGTGCAGGGACATGATACGGGCCATACATGCATGCAAAACTGCGACAGAAGAACGTGCTGTTATAAGGAAAGAGTGTGCTGCTATTCGTGGTGCAGTTGATGAAAACGATCAAGATTAGGCATCGAAACATGGCTAAATTCATGTTCATTCACATGCTTGGATATCCCACTCATTTTGTTCAAATGGAGTGTTTGAAGTTGATTGCATCTGCTGGATTTCCAGAGAAAAGGATTGGATATCTTGCTCTTAAGTTGCTTATTCATGAAAGACAAGTTCTCATGTTGATCACAAACTCCTTACAGCAGTACCTTTTGTGTGGACTCTTCTCAAGCTTCTTTTGTTTCTGTTTCCTTCCACCTTTTGTCGTTTCTCTTCTGAATGACTAACGCTATGTTTGATGATGAGGTATTACAACTCTATAAATAAGAAAATGTAGAGACTTGCTTTACTTGCGGGAGCCTTGATTTATATGCTGGGATCTGAACCATTCAAACCAGTATAATGTATGGACCATTATGCTCCATACGGATCATAAAGAAAGTTCCCGACCTGGCTGAAAACTTAATAAATTCTGCTGCTTCCCTGCTTAAAGAAAAGCATCGTGGGTTCTGATAATTGGAGTTCAACTTTGTACAGATCTATGTAAAGTCAGCTCAGAAGCCCTTGAATACTTTAAAAGGGTAAAATGGTTATGGCCTTTTAAGCACAGTTGCTCACAGCTATAGCATCAGAAAGATGAACACTACTCTCTGGAGTGTAAGGATTAGAAAATTGTAAATATTTAGTTCCTGATTTTTTGTTTTCTGGAGCATCCAATGCAAGCAGAGCTGTCTACTACTATCCACAGTCTTGTTCTGTTTCCAGCAGAAGAGTAGTTACCATCAGAAAGATTGAAAGGATCAAGATTACTGGTGTTTTGCTCTAAAGGGTTGATTATCTTTTGCTTTAATTTATCCTAAGATGCTTTGGGATGATTTTTCAATTTGTTTCTATAGCATTTATGAACTTGTTAGCCCTTCAGGGTTGAGTAAAAATAGGGCCTCTATCTCTTTCTTTTAAATATTGGGTTGAATCTTATTTTTAAGTCAAAATCTCTCTATTTATTGACAACACACTCTACAGATACAACTGCTCGAAACACCGGGCCTCTATTGAAAACAATGTTATATTTTACCATTGAAATCACTTAATAGATTAGTATGAATGACATACTTGTCAGGTCTGTTGTGATGTTTTTCCCATGACCCGTCTTTCTTTTTCCGTTTGTTCGAAGTCCTGAATTAATTTATATATGATGCTGTTTTACGTGTGTTTATATATATATATATGGTCTAGGATCCAATTACACAATATAAAACCCTTTTAGTTTTACACATATTTAATACTTGTTGGATGAGTGAAAATTGATCGTTGAGATTGACTTATTGTTTGTTTGTTTTTTCCGGTGAATATCTTCTCATTTTCTAATGTTAATCTCAGCGATCAATTTTCACGACGGTCCTAAATCTATGTAAAACGTTTTTCATTGTGTAACATGATCCTATCTATCTATATATTGTTGTAAATCTCATATGCATGGATACCCGTTGGCTGTAGTAGGCCAGATTTTCTTTTTAGAGGTTCTGCAATGACATTTGTAAGGGGAAATTGAGGAATGGGATTAGCTCTTTCATTTTATGGTTTACAGTATTTCTAGGTGAAGGAATACATGTTCTTTCCTTATAGAAAATAAACCGACATTCCACTCAATTATTGCTTCTGCTCATGCATAAACCTTGATGAAATTACTCGACGCATGTTAGTGGGCAATATGATATTCTATAAAGGGAATATTGGATATTGGTTCTAAAGCTTATCCATGTTTGGTTGCATACGTGATCAGATCCTTAAGAATGGCGTTTAACTTTTCAAAGCAACCAGGGAACCCTCAAACAATGTCGATCCAGGCTACTTCAACTAGGGTGTTTACTACCTTATCAGTTGGAAAGTGTCTAGATCACTTACGATTTCTGGAAGACGTCTGAATTATCCAACAATTTTTGGACTACACGGTTTTGATTTTTCAAATCTCGGAATCTTTGCTAGGTCTGGCGTCCTAGACTGCATGCAATATGAGAAAGACGTCATGTCTTCCATGCGTATTCCCAAAAACACTAGGTGATCCGCTTGACTTCCTATTGGCATTGTCTCAGCAATTAATTTTTCAAAACCATTATCTCAGCAAAATTGCTTTTTTTTAGGGTAAATTAATCATTTATCTATTTATTTCCAGAAATCATTGGTCATGCGCATAAGGATAGCTTACAAGATGAACAACAAAGATGTTTTGGAAGGACAAATCAACAATTTCCCTCAAAATTTGTGAGGTTGGATCATCTACAGATACGTTCGAAGTATTTTCCATTATATTTTCATAACATGGCAGTTCTAGAGCTAGCAAAAGTTTTTTATTTGAATTAAAAGACTTTTATCACATTAAATTCCCTAGTTTTTGTTGATTTTGTCTCGGTTTTAAATTAATACTGCTACAAATATACAAATGGGGATGAGGTGTTTAATATTATTAAATTCATTAGAGAAGAAAGCAACGAGCATTTCAATGCAAATTGAAATTGAAAAGCCCCAATGCAATATCGTTCTTTTTAATTGCACATGGGATGCTCTTGATCTCCCCAATGCATGCGCCAGAGATGCATATGCAGCCTTAAGAACACTAACTTGAACTTCAAGTCTCAAATGGGGTTTGCTCGTCAGATGGTTAAAATAAGGACAGCAAGGTCAAGTGACTTATTGTAAATTTGCAATGGGACAATAAGAGACCTTGGATTCTTCTTCCACCAAATCTCAATAATCCATATGCTATCTGTTTGTCTTTTTTTTACTGTAACATTGAGCCTGTAAACAAGACTTATGTTTTGACTTGTGTGCTTCTTTCTCTCTCATGGAGTTGTTATTATCGTGATCTATTTAGCTTACCAAATACCCTCATGCCTGACTGTCATGCATTGCTCATTGCATCACTTTTGTTTTGACTTTTGGCTCACATTGCTGTCACCTTTGTTTCCTGCTCTTGTCATATAGTCAAGTGTCGCATGCCTATCTAAGTAATTTATAGGAACAAAACAACAATCAGACGCCAGCAGTTCTGTCTTCTCTAATCATATCACCAAGCCACTTCTATTGTGGGAGGGCTAGGGGAGCAAACACAAACAACCCATGTATTTAATACATCTGTTGAATTAAGTGGTAAGAAATTATATTCAATACGATTTCATTCTGAAATAATCATAATTTACTGTGACTACTAGATATGGAAATCTAAAAAGGAAGGGAAAATCCATGCATTTCCCTTTGTGTAAAAGTGTGAGAACTGAGGACTAGAACAATTACAAGTTTCAAGAAAGCTTCAACCATCTGCTATCTGCTTATTGTCATGTGGTGCTTTAAATGAACTTTCTATTCTTAATGTAGTTTAATTAGGTAAACTTGGGATTTGAACTTTTATTTCATAATCATATGACCCCACAGTCCCACTGGCTTATGTCTGATGTCAACTTTTTTCCATATAATGGCTACACTCACTAGAGTCCTTCAAACCACTTTTTTTTGGGATCCCACCATCCCTCACCATGCAAAGAAAAAGAAGGCTCCTATTAGAACATCAAGGTATTTACTATAGTTAAAAAAATTAAAAAGCCTCTCATAGAAGCACCAGATGATACGACCTCACAGTGTATCCTTTTGTTTCTTTTTCTGTATTATTCTCTTTTTGGTGGACATTGGGGTGTCAGAAGGAGGAAGAGGTAGAGTAAATATTAGAATCCACTTTTTAATTTGCCATAAAAGTAAGAACATAAAGAAGCACATTCATGGAAGTTGCATTGCACTAGTAAAGAATCAAAATTCTTTGAAAGAAGAGAGAAGGTAAAACGCTAAGAGGAAAAGCTTAAACAATTAGATTCGTTGATTATTATGAAGTACCAAGGAACAGTAAATACCTTAGGTAACTTGAGTTCTAGTATCAGTACATGGCAAACCAACAGAAATAGATGAAGAAGAGCCTATGGTATCTGAAGAACTTGGGAATTTACCCTTCTTAGACCATTGCCAGATCTTGGAAACAGAAAAGCTTTCCCCTTTACTTGTCAAGTTAATTTTCTTTCCCTCAAAATCTCCATAATTTGATGAATTTCCATTGTTTCCACCTCTTCCTTTCACAAGCTTCATACTACTAGCAGTGTCATTGCTTCCTCTAGAGGGGCGGCATAGAGTCACTTGCAACTCATCAGCAACCACATATTGGAATGACCCCATTGAGTAACATCTCCTTGCATCCAAATTACTGCTACTGGTCTCCCCTTCTTCTACTTCTCTCCCTTTTCCTTCATTTGAACTTCTAAATTTGCCTAATCTGACAGAAAACACCCTCTTTCCAATGTCATTCTCTGCTGGTTTAGTGCCAAGAGACACCCCACTTCCTCCATTGCTTGATAACATAGTTTCCTCCCTTGGATATTCAAAGTCAAAAACTGGGTTCTCAATTGGGAGCTCAGGTGTGAAAATGGTCCCTCTACAAAGGGGGCAAGTGGAGTTTGACATCAACCATGTGTCTATGCAGTCTATATGGAAAGCATGACTACACAAAGGAAGTAATCTCAGCCTGTCTTCTTCCAAGAACTCACATAGACAAACTGCACAATCAAATGGCTCTTTCAACCCCATTATTTCCTTGTAAAGAAACACAGGCAGAGCATCTATGAAAGATTGATCTAGACCTGAATCATGAAGATGGAAGAGTTGCTGTAACTGTCTTTGGTAAGCATCAGTACCTGACATTTCTGGGTATCTTTCAGATTCTGATAAAGATGAGGGAGACCTATGCTTCATGAGAAATCTAACAAGCAAGTGAAGCAGACCAGATATGAAAAATATTACCGCCAGAACAACAATGATGAATAAGACAGCTGGGCTTATTTTACTAGCTGAAGATGACGAGGGAAGAGGGTCTGGCTGCTTTTGGTAATCATTGCTGAACGGCAATGGAGGAGAGGAGAAAGAAGAAGAAGAAAGTAAAGAGTGAGCATGGTAATAATTCAAAACAACAGCTTTTAACTTGGTTTCAGATTGCACCCAAGACATTTTAGGAGATGGGCATGCTAAAGAACACATCTTTCTTCAACATTATTGAATTAAAAAAACTCTGAAACCATGTTTTCTTGGTTCCTTTCAGATTAAACCCAACTCATAAACTACAATGAACAAGCATTGGGCACATTATTTCTTGCACCCACAGCAAAACCAGCTAAGAGGCATAAAACTAAGCTTAGACTAAGATTGACAGGTAAGAAGATTGCTTAGGTGGAAGAACAAGCACTCTTCTCTAACACCTTAAAGAGTGTAAACCAAGTCAAGGTTTTAGTTTACCTACCTCAGAAATTAGAGAAGTGTGGCGTCATGGAGTCCCAAATTTAATAAGTTGCTCCGGGGATTGTTGCAGTGAACCTCCTTTACATTGGTTTGTTGTAGGCAAAGAATAAAGATGGAGAGAGGGTACGGCAGGTAAGCTTATAAAAAGCAAAGGATTAAGGATCAGAGTGAATTTTAAGGGCTGTTTTATCATTTGGGCTGATTTGGATTTTTGATTTGTTTAATATTAACTCTAACATTTTTAATATTTATACATTTTTAATTTAATTATTTTTAGTTGAACTCATTTGATGAACTCATTTACATTTAGTGACCTCATGGTTAGGGGAAGTCTTGTTATTCTTAGAGGAGTAAAAGTTTTAAGTTCGAGCAGTTGTGCTTACAAGTTGTATATATGTTATTTATAGTTAAAGAAAGATTATCAACATATACTACCTTTTAATCGCTCCAAACTATTTAGAAAAAAAAAATTAAATTTAGATTCCAATATTTTATTTAATCAAATATCTTTAATTTTCATATGAATGATGATTATAGCATTAGTTCTTCACGGAATATATATGGAAACATGCATAATAATTTATGTTTATTTCATTGTTAATTTGGAGTTATTTCATTATTAATAATTTTCATATTAATTGACTAAATCGGATCGGATATTGTAGTATTGCAATATAATCTAAGTTACATATTACTAGAAAAACTATAGTACAAAGAATTTAAATATAAAATTGAATTGAATTACATATAATTGGAATTTGCATATGAACGAAACTTGTTATATCAATCATTGTCAAATTGATGCAGTGTTTTGTTGATGTTTGTATGAAGAGTCTTGTTTAAGACAAATGCGTCCTCTCTATGATGTTTGAGAATATTAGATGATTATTTCTCGAGATACAACAATCAACGTTCACCCTTTAACGACACAAAATATTAGACGTTTTTCGGCAGGAGAGCTTGGATATTGTGGCTCCAATTTAAGTTTGTGTTGAGAGGCCGAAAACGAATCTACAACTTTATACTTTTTAGGCAGTTAATTTGTTATTTAGATGGGGGCACTTGTTGCTGCCGGTATAATGCCAGCCTATGTCTTTAGGCAACTGTCTATAATCAACTTCGTACTGTAGTTTTCACTTTGTCAAGAGATTGGGTCACGCCCTCTAATTTATAGGATGACCTGATTGATGACCGTCGTTTGCCAGCCCATTAAAAATCAAATGAACAGAGATAACTTCACATGTCCATGTTATGTTCACGAATTTGCCAAGGATATGTGTCAAGTGTCGATACAATCAGTTTGGATAAGCAAATACGTAAGGGTCGTTATGTTTTCATCAATACACATTTTTCTTTTCTTTTTTAAATATTTTAAGGTATTTATAAAATAATATTTGTTTATTGTAGACACCCGTTTTTGTCCGGGTCTTTTTTTTTGTATATTATTATCGTTATTATTATTATTATTATTATTATTATTATTATTATTATTATTATTATTATTTAATTTACATTTACAAATTTTTGCAGGCCTAATCCTTAAGCCCAACAGCATACCCAACAAGCTGGAGCAGACCCAGTTCAGGCCCAATACCAATCCCAGGCCCACTTGACAACCCAGCTAGGGTTTCATCTCAATGGTCCAGCCGCCTCATTTCTGGCCGTTGGATCTGGACCCATCCAACGGTCCAGATCATGCAAAATTAGGGTTTCAAAACCCTAAATCATCATCAACCCTAATCCCCTAAAGGCTCAGCCGCCGCCTTCAACTTCTCATCTCTAGCCGCCGTTCAAGCCGAGCGTCCCCTCGCCGACAGCCTCTGACGCCGGCTGCCTGCATCCACAGTGACCGAAGGCCCCCACAGTCATCTACAGTAAACCACAGCAACCCCATCAGTCCCAAATCAACCCAAATCAAATAAAAAAATCCCTATAATCCCGAAAACCCGGGATCCTATCACCCTAAATCAGAAACCCATTCCTAAGTCTGGACTGATCCTATTCTTTTCTAGACATCATCATCTCAACAAAAATCCAACAAGCAAAAAGGAAAGATAAAAGACCAAAGAGGGGGATATATGGGGCATTCGGTGATAACAAAAAAAATAATATAGAGAGCATTCGAAAAAAGAAAATAACATAGAGAGAAAGAAAAAAAGAAAGTCTTACCCTTGTAGATTTATCCCTTATCAACCTCACCAGAGCTTGAAAACCCTGAATCGAAGGTAAAACGTTCTTTTTTTTCTTGAATCTAGGTTTGGATTAAAAGGGGTTCTCGGTTTTTTTTGGGTGAAGGGTTGGGCTTTCAAAGGAAATGAGGAAGAAAGAGGATTGAGGGTCTTTAGGGGTCGGTTTGCTCCCCATGGCCACCGATACGGTGGCCGGGGAGCCTCTGTTTTGTGGTTGCGGCGAGGGAGAGGGAGGGAACCTTGAGAGCTTTGTTTTCTCTCTGTTTTGAGAGATGAGAGCGGCTGAGAATGAGAAAAACAAGGGTTTTGAAACCCTTATTTTGGGGTTATGATGGACCCAAAACGACGTCGTGTAAAAGGGTTCAGGGTTGCGTGTTTTAGCATGAAAAGGGGTAAACCACGCTTTTGGTCCCTGATACTTTGTAACCGCACGATTTAGCCATGGAATGAAGTTTACATTATTTCAATTTGAGCCTTTATCTTTTCACTTTTACATTTTAGTCACTATCCTAGGTATTATAACATTTTTGTTTATATTTGGTTCTGGTTTCAGTATTTATAAATGTTACATCTTAGCCACTGATTTAATATTTAAAGTATGTTTCTTTGATATTCGAATCTGGCCATCACATTTATAAATATTTTATTTTAGTCCTATTAATGTATGTTATGTCATTTTTGTGGATATTTGACTTTGGTCCCAATGTTTGTAATAGTTTCATTTTAGTCACTAATTTCGTGTGTTGTGTATTTTTGTGAATGTTCGAATTTGGACAGGATATTTATGTATTTTACATTTTAGTCACTGTTGGGTATTTGGTTTAATTATTGTTCGGTCCCTCATGCTATATATCATAATATTTTTGTTTATGTTCGATTCTGGTTTTAATATTTACAAGTGTTTCATTTCAGTCACTGAATGTTACCTTTCTTTATTTTAATTAGTATTTTTAATTTACTTTGTTTACATTATGGTCAATGTTTTAGTATAAATACTTTAGGTAAATTTATTGTTTGCCCTTACGAATTTATGTTTTAATTTGTTTTAGTCCCTTAATTACTTACTTTTGTATTTTATTTTGGTTTGTAATGTTTATTTATTTTTAGTCATTTGTATATGAATGTATTTTACATATTACATGGTTATTTGTATTATGTAAATAATGTGTTTAATTCCACTTAATGTAAATATTTGTATTTCCAATTACATTTATTCTCATTATATTCTTATGTATGTACGAAATATTTGATTTTATTTTCAAGAACATGTATGCGTAGAATGAGCGTGGAAAGTACCATTTGGACGAAGTGGTGCGATCCGGTACGACATTTTAACGACATAGGAACTTGAAATAAGTCGAGTATATTTTACTAATTAATTTGTTCAAATGATGCAATTCGTGTTATTTTAAGTGACAATTTACTTTATTTTATGTTAATGTAAATTCCAATTTTGTTAATTTATATATGATTCATTTTTAGTTAATCAATTTATGTAAATGTCATTTTTTTTATTTATATTCGATTTGCATTTTTAATATAAATGAGGAGGGAATATTCTTTAATTGATAAGAAATATTCGAGTTAGTTTTCCCGACGGAGGATTGCTAATATCGATGTTTCTTTTCAAGTTAAAGAATTTTCCCTAATAATTATTTGAAGAAAATTAATATTCAATAAATGGATCATAATTTAATTTTATATTCGATTCATACTTTCCATCATTTACTACAATGTGTAAGCGACACAGTACCATTTTTGGGCGCTGTGGGGGTGCTTACCCTTCCCCGCACGTAACCGACTCTCGAATCCATTTAAATGAATCTTTGGTAACACAGACCGAATCTTGTCTTAAAAAATGATTTTTCTTAAAATTGTTTTAAAAGACGTTTTTAGGTATTCAACCTACCTAACCCAAAGGTTGATGGCGACTCTTTTTAATTTTATTCAAATCAATTCAAAATCACCGATTTTTCCAAATTAAAGTCATAATCGTTTTTTTAAAATAATATTAAATTGTTTTTATAAAAAAATGGTTATGACAGCTTGGCGACTCTGCTGGGGAAGTTTTTTAGAGAGTCGAGCTGTAAGTCGCTTACACATTGTCGTTGTGGTCGAATTTATGAGTTCGAGTCTTTAGTTAGTCTATGATCCTTTTGTTGAAGTTTTTAATTGCTTCATTTTTTAATTGTTATACTAACATTTGAATTTTTGCTTTCAGATCGATCTAAGTTTTTATCGAGTTTTATCTTTTTCGTTTTTTGAGTCAAAGGTATGTATGTTCCTCCTCACACACATCACGTGCATTCGCATAACATGAGCTCTAGACACAAGCTTTGATCCAAATTAGTCGGGGTGAATGCTTTACTCTCGTAAGAATTTATTCTTCGTATGAGTTTTAGCAAATAACCCATGGGATACATACCTTATACCTTCGTAGGAATTTATTCCTCGTATGGGTATGAGGCAGTGAATCCCCTCGAATTGAACTCGGTCCGTTTGAAACCTGTAATGGGTAAGGATTGAGGGTCTGGCAGCCCAAGGGGGCACCGACATCAAGGACAATTCGAGTCCCTTTTTTCCGTTAGAGCCGAAACCAAGCATATAGTGAACCGTCGAACTATCACCCTAGGTATAGTCATACCGAACCTTTGTCCGTCAGTAGGTACCCAAACTAGGTGTACACAAAGGAGGAGTGTT